GACTCACTTTACTCACAGACAGTCAGGCAGTACTGTGGACATTGAAGAACCCTAAGGCAAACTCTGCACTGGTAATAGAATGCCGAGAAGAACTCAACAACTTGGCGGACCAAAATAACGTTACATTTATGTGGGTACGAGGACATAGAGGTATCCCGGGCAACGGAAAGGCTGACGAACTTGCACGCAGAGGGTCATTCACAGAATACTTTTGTCCCGAATCAGCTCTCGGAGTGCCCAAAAGCATAGTAAGAAAGGAGCTGAAGGAATGGATCAAAGCAAAACATGGTTAATACTGGAAGCAAATACCCAAGCATACACATGGGAAAATATTCATGCGTGAGACATGCAACAAAAGAGCAAAAAGACTGCTACAACAAAGCATGAATCAACTCAGAGTAGCAACTGGCTTTCTTACTAGGCATGCCCCAGTAAAGAAGCACCTGCAAATAATGAGCTTGTACAATGGAGACACGAGCTGCAGACTATGCGGAAAAGAGATTGAAACAGCCCAACATATTATATCATAATGCGATGCACCAACTCGCAGAAGCCAAAATATATTTGGAGAAGATGAACTAGATCCAGACACATACGGCACACATCCAACAGACCTACTTCGCCTACTGCAGGGAACCAGGGTTTTGGAATGGGTGCAGTAAACAGGAAGATTCAGTACAATAAGCCTCCGGCTGCAGCGCTACTCGGAGTTTAATCAGACGACTTCTCCGCCAAAAAAAAAGTCTTAAAGACGTATTTTTCAGGTCTGCATTACGTCTGAACGAAGACGTTGTTTTTTTACATTACTTTTACTTTACATGTAGGTTAAAGAAAGTATAGGGTGGTCCAATTTGAACACTTTTGATAGGAAACGTCAATTTTTGAGCGAGATACAAAAAAATGAATGCCTTACGCTTAGGCTCAAATATCATGAATTCTTGATTGGTACAAACACTGGCAAACCGCATTTTGATATCTTCAACCATTTTGCTGCTAGAGGATTTTTCTCGAAGCACTAAGGTGAAACCTTCAAACTTTTTTTATTTCTGAAAATAATTGATTTCTGTATAATCTTTCTATATCTCGATTCGTTTTTAAGCTACAATGGGGAAAGTTGACAAAATATCCATAGATAAAAAAAGTTATAGACCCCTTGCTGAAATGCAAACTTTTCAAAAACCCCTCGTAGCATAAAGACAACTCCTCGACATATGGAGCGGTTTTCACCAGCCAATTTCTCTTGAAAATTGAGGCTTGCAAGTGGGGGTCAGATCTTTTCCAACTCATTTAGAAGTACTCGAAACCCCCAAAACCATCGAATCTTGGACACCTTGTTCTCAATGTTTTTCTACTTGGTCCCGATTTTGAGATATTGACTAAAGTCTTTCAATAGGAGGCCCTATACACTGTGGACCAAATTTATTTGGAACCCAATTTGGCTCTGAATATATTTTTTTGAATTCGGCGGATTTCTGCTTTTACTTGGCTCCACCTGTATATTTTGATTAGATATTCTTTTTACAATTAAGGAAAGGTCCCCCCAATATTCACACAAAATTTCAGAAAAATCCGCCGAAATAAAAGGATATACTTATATTCAGAGCCATATCGGGTTCCAGATAAATTTGGCCCACAGTGTATATTAACGTTATTCGGTAAAAACAAAACGATAAATTGAACAATGGTGTTAGATTGGAAAATTTCTCTTTTCCTATTCCAGGCTCTTGATTTTTCCTTATTTCATTATGCAAAATTTTTGATTTTCTTTTGGCTCTTGAATTTTTTCATTCCAAGTTCTTGAATTCTCATCAGGTATTCTCGTATTTTGAAATTTCAAGATCTCCACTCCTTTCTACTGATTCCCCAAAATTGACTTTTTTCGAATTTCGAAGAAACAAAATACTCTATCTGATAGAGAAACCGAAAAGATCTCTTGGCAATTATACGTCAAACGCTTCCTTAAGAAATTTCGAAAGAAAATACTCCTTTTTACTATGAGGATACTGAAAAAAGATCCCCTCATTTTCACTGGGGATTCCCCACAATTGTAAGTTGACTTTTTTCTAATTTCGAAGGAAGAAAGTATTCTCTCCGGTAGAGAAGGCGAAAAGAATAACTGGAAAGGTTTCTTGGCAATTTTAAGTCAGTTTAAGAAGTTCCAGAAAAAAATACACTCCTTTTTACTGATTCCCCAAAATTGATTTTTTTCGAATTTCGAAGAAACAAAATAGTCTATCCGATAGAGAAGGCTAAAAGAAACCGAAAAGATCTCTTGGCAATTATACGTCAAACGCTTTCTTAAGAAGTTCCGAAAGAAAATACTCATTTTTACTATGAGGATACTGGAAAAAAGATACACTCATTTTCACTAGAGATTCCCCATAATTGGAAGTTGAATTTTTTCTAATTTCGAAGGAAGGAATTATTCTCTCCGGTAGAGAATGCGAAAAGAAAGACTGGAAAGGTTTCTTGGCAATTTTACGTCAAACGCCCCCTAAAGAAGTTCCAGAAAACAATGGACTTCTTTTACTGATTTCCTAAAATTGACTTATTTCGAATTTCGAAGAAATAAAATACAGGTAGAGAAGGCTAAAGAAAACCGAAAAGATCTCTTGGCAATTAAACGTCAAACGCTTGCTTAAGAAGTTCGAAAATAATCCTTTTTACTGAGGATACTGAAAAAAGATCCATTCATTTTCACTGGGGATTCCCCACAATTGGAAGTTGACTTTTTTTTAATTTCGAAGGAAGAAAGTAGTCTCTCCGATAGAGAAGGCGAAAAGAAAAACTGAGAAAGTTTTTTGGCAATTTTACGTCAAACGCCCCCCAAAGAAGTTCCAGAAGAAATAATCCACTCCTTTTTACTGATTCCCCAAAATCGACTTTTTTCGAATTTCGAAGAAACAAAATAGGTACTCTATCTGGTAGACAAGGCGAAAAGAAACCGAAAAGATCTCTTGGCAATTTTACGTCAAACATTTTCTTAAGAAGTTCCAGAAGAGAATCAACCCTTTTTTACTGAGAATACTGGATACTAATATTGACTATTATTTCATTAATTATTGTATTGCACGTAGGTAATAAAAAATCTTCAACAAAATATATTGCACTCTACTATTGGCTACAAGACGTATATCATGCATCAGTAAGCTGTCCAATTTGTAGTGCAAATTTACCTACTAATTGGAAACTGATTTATACTTTGCAATAAATGAAAAAATAATTAACAAGGCATATAGCTGAGTCAATCTGGGGGGTCAGGGTGCAACAAATTAGCAACAAGCTGATTCCAGCGGGAATGTTTAGTAAGTGACCTCTTATTTAACCTCCCAAAAGTCCCATTCAGTCCTAGGGGTGGAAGGTTGAAAAAAATGGCCACCATCTTGGATTTTGTTGTTTTTTTCAAATATCCCAGTTTCTATCAGTTTTTTTAGAAAACTTGAAAAACCTTTTTTGTGGAAAATTTAATTCTCTATAAAAAGTGTTCATACCGTTTTTTTGTAACTTAAAGGATAACGGAGATACAGAGCTTTTTATAGTAAATATTTCAAACATTTCTTTACTTTTATCCCTTTCGAAATGTTTAGAAAAGATTTCCCCTGTTCCACCTCCAGCAAAAAGCGCTGGGAATGCTAGAGGTGGAACCGAGGAAATCGTTTCCGTTCTCTATTCAACCTTAGACTTTCTTTAGACATTTTATTCTATCGCATTAAAATTGATATGCAAGATGTTTAGTTGCCAGGCGTAGGACTTGGACATGAATGCAACAAGTTTTTTATTAGAATCCAGAATGGCTTTGCAGGTGTCTTCCAGCCCATTGGATAGCACAACTCTTTTTTTGGTTTTGAGCTTTTCCATCTTTGCTTCGAATTCGTGAAGTCTTGAGCTAAACCCCGGTAGTGCTTGGAAACAGTCCATACAGCTTGGACAACAAAAATATCTTAGGCAGCGTTCTTTCATTATCAGAACTCGGATCTCAGAGATCCTTACTCCAGAGCAATTTCTGCATAGAATCTTGCGACAAATGTCACATGGTTAGCCAAAAAGCTAATTTTAGTCTTCCTTTTGGAAGCAGGCCTTATCACAGGTAGATCCATATCAGGATTGATTATGGTAGGAATAAAATTTAATACAGAATGTTTATTTGGCTTAGGCCCGGTTCATTCATCTTCAGATAAACTTGCTGGTAACTATCTGAAAGATAAATTTATTGTTCTATTATTCTATTGGTTGGCGGATAACTGGCCAACCAATGAGATTACAGATTGGGTTTTTATATCGTTCTATTATTCTATTCGTTGGCGAATAACTGGCCGACCAATGAGATTGCAAATTTTTGTGCTGCTGATAAGTAATACAAATTGTCTTTTTTTTCTATTCCTATTTGAGTCCCAATAATTAAACTGGATTTGTTGGCTTATCAAGAATGAAGTCCAGAACAAGTTTTACAAGGTTGAAAAAATCACAATTTCACAAACAAAATAACTCCACACACGATCAATATGACCAATAGAGACCCATAAAAACTTGCAATTTATACAGAGCGAATATACTACTTACTTTGGTGGATCACTTTTTTGGATCTTCAACAAAAGTGAAAAATTTATAAATCAAATTCTAAAAAAAACCATATCTCCGTTATCCGTCATGGTCCAAAAAAAATGTACAGACACTTTTTATAGATAATTAAATCCTCCACAAAAAAGGTTTGTTAAGTTTTCTTGAAAAAACTAATAGAAACTGAGATATTTGAAAAAAACAAAAAAATCCAAGATGGCGGCCATTTTTTTCAACCTTCCACCCCTAGGACTGAATGGGACTTTTGGGAGGTTAAATAGGAGGTCGGTTACTAAACATTTCCGCTGAAATCAGCTTGTTGCTAATTTGTTGCACCCCCATCAATGTTATGCAGCTACGTTTATCCTACTAATAATGAATCATGCAAAAAAAATGTTAAAATTCATGCATCAACATCTACGTCGAAGGAGTACTGTACACACCTGGCAAGTACCGTGTCGAATAGTACCCGGGCGGATACTGGAAAAGTCGGGTGTAACTAGGCGGTGCTGGACACAATGCCAAATCTGAAAAAAATTAATCGTGAATATGTACATGGTGCATGTGAAGTGCTGTTATGGCGCATATTAATACAATAAAAATGCAACGTGGTATTTTAACCTTTATACGTCAATACATTATAAACAATGGGAGGAAGATCACGGTCTATTTACTTTCCGAAGTTCTTATTCGCGATATCAGAAAACGGTACAAAATAAACATCCATGTAGTAAAAATTACGTGTACGTACAGTTAAATATTTTGCATTCTTCAATGTACCTATATCTAAGAGGAGATCGGAATTGAACGGGATTTTTCGTATAGCGCCATTCTATAAAGTACCTATATCTAATCGAAGATGATACCTAAATATTTTCTATTGATACGTCGGTAGCCAAATATCTTATAGCAAAACTTACACTATTGGTTTTAAGTACTAATTAACTTAAATTCCAGATGCGCTCACTTGATTTTACTAAAACCACTTCTGACAATGAAAATCTCTTCACTTTGTGTACCTAGAGATTACGCACAGCTGGTATTCAAAGCGATTACTATCAGCTATGATTAATTATTATTTTGTTAGATATGAATATGAATATTCAATTAAAAAAAAATTGGATTGAAAGGCAACAGAATCTTTGAAGAAATGTTTCAGAAACTTGTATAGTTTTAAAGGCGTTTATGAAATTGCAATTGCAATAAATTGTGATATTATGTAGGTATAGTAGATAGGTACCTAAATAATAACCGGTATATAAGGAGAAAATTTATAAATTATTATGCACTAAACTAAATTTCACCCAGTCATCGCTTTAAATCACACTTTCCATTAATGACAATTATTATTTATCAATATCTAGTTCAACTAGTGAATTTGCAAATACCCGTTTTTGAAGAAAGCGTACCAAAACCGACACAAGGAGAAAATGATTTTTTTCGCCATTGCCACCATTAAATCAAAACTTCAATTATATCAATCAAATTGAGACTAATGGGCATATTTTACGGTGCATTCATTAACATTTTAACCGTGAACCGCTCTTTGGCGAAATTGAAAATAGTTTTTGCTAATTAGAAAAATTAATTATTATTTAGGCTGCATGAAATTAGTGCTTGCAAATTCATTACAGTTTTTAAATGAGGATTCAAACAGATGGCAGAAATAATTACCAAAGTGAAGGCATGAGGTAGGTAAAGTAATATGGGATTTATTACAATTTGCGATCTTGAAAATAAATATAACATCAATTAATTTGTTTATCGGTCTGTTGATTTTTAGTGCCTACGTACCCTGATTTCCTCAAAATTCCTCGAAACTTTCCTTGAGTGAAGGTAATAGTTATTTATGTATCAAGGCAGTAAAGTGATACTTTATCGAACTAGACTGAGTTTATGAGTCGAGCGAGCGAAGCGAGCGAGGTGAGTAAAAGGGTGAGTGCATACAAAACTTTTTCGCCAACCGTGGAAATTGATAACTCTGAACAATGAAGATATTATAACTTAACACATTTTATTATAAGAGCAAACACAGAACAAATCTACTTATTATTTGTTATATTGAACGTGAATGTATACCCTGTCGATATCAAGTCGAAAGAGTTTCAATATGTTAACAATGCGTGAGTCCTTTTTTTTAGAATTATCATTGGTAACAACTATGGTGTCAATTTGATTCGACTGTTGCTCAAAACTGTCTTTGCGATTTTTGTTCCATTGAGATTCCTCGACATAGAACTCTGCAAAAATATTTGCGGCAGGTAAAATACTTGATCTGCCGCATATGCGGCAGTTGAAATACTTAATCTGCGGCATATGCGGCAAGTAAAATACAGTGAATAAAATACTGTGAATGAAATATCCGGAAATCGCTATGGTAATGTATAGCTCTACTATGACGGTTGGCGATAAAATCTATTTTGTTCATGTGAATAAAACAATACCTGTATTGAGGGTACCCTTTGTCTATTGGTAAATAAACAGAAATTTCTTTTGTAAATAAGAAATCTCATAATCAATATTTTCTGTAAATGGAATCTGCCTTAAATAACAATTAATCGCCACTAATAAACTAGATCAATTTCTTCATTAAAATGCCTCCAGCCGGTTTCCTGATTAGCAACCAACCTCTAATCAATGCCAAGTTCATTGTGTCTGAATCGAAAGTGGATTATTAAAAGCTTCGAGCGTAACTTTATTGATTTGTTTTGGTTTCAATTCACAAAATACACTTTCACTCAATCAGTAATTTTACTCTCGTTGAAGATCATTGGATTTGGAGCAGGTTTTATTGAATTGCAAATTGATTTTTATGTAACAATGTTCTTTCTAATGTAGATACATATGTGTACCATTACCGAAAAGTATAACAATATTATAAAAGTGAGAAAATGTGTGCTACTATTATTTAATTGACCTGAAAATAAAATATATACATCTACATGGATCAGTACAGTTGTACATATAAGGCAACCCGCTATAATAATAATAACACCTCAAATTACCATACAATGAAGTTTAAAATTTTATAATGGAAACCAAAATAAAAATAAAATTTAAATTTATTGTTCTGCCACTCCTATAAGTAATGACTTTATAGGCTGGAACTTGTGTACAGTGGAATATATCAGTTATTGTTTCTCTATATTATTATTTTTTGAAATAAATTAGTATTTTTCTACTTCTATTTCATAATACTGTTACGGTGACGTCTTCACCAAACTGTACAGAATCTAACTTGAAATCTAGAAAATACTGCTTTATTCGGGCAAAAAGAGTATCGCGTTTATTCTGGATTTTACAAGAATGGATTACAGATATAGAAAGGCCGGTATTAGTTAGTAGTTTTTGAGTTTAAGATTGACTGTGATATGATTTAGATAGTGATTATTGTTGAGAGTTGTAAAGAGTTTAATTATTTGAGTTAATTAATAAAGTAATTAGTGAGAGTGTATAGTAACGTGGAATAAATTATTGTTGTGTTAATTGGATTTTGATTTTGAATAAACGAACCCAAGATTTCTGTCACGCACCCCAGAGCCGTGACAATACGCTAATCAGAGATACTCTAATTAAACGAATAAAATCTGTTTCATAATGAACTTCATTATGATACAGTTTTTTACTGGTTTTGGATTATTTCTGTTAGTATTTACAGAAAGAAGCAATAAAAAATAGATGGATCCGCGGTGCGCGGGTGTAGAATTTATGCGCAAATGACGTCTAGATCTCAATTTCCAAAATTGTCAATAGATGACACCACCATTTGAGAAGTTTACTATTCTCAAAATAAATATATATTTCGTTTATTAATTTAAGTGGAAAAAATAGTGCATGCAACTCTCATGTAATGGCCATTGATACACTCGCATGTCTTATACGAAACTCACCTGCGGCTCGTTTCGTATCCTACAACATGCTCGTGTATTAATGGCTATCATCACATGATCATTGCATAATATACTATTTTAATTCACCATGATAATATTTTTTCCACTACAAAAAAAAAAAATGAAAATTGTAGAGACTAAACATCTGGTTAACGTAAATGATGTGATTTGTGTCATATTGATAGATAATTATTCCGTTTAAATTTTCACGAGATAATAAATATTCATATTATAGCTTTAACCTATAAATGATATCAGTCCGGTCCACAAACTTTTATGGTACTTGGACTATGTAAATCAAAAGCGGAACCAAAATAAGACACACTACTTGAGTGATATAATTTTCTCATGGGTAATTTTCTAAGGTCAATGCCTTAGCACACTTAGTAAGATACCATGCAGAGGCATCCTTGACATAAGTTGCAGTACAAATTATTCACGTCCATTATATTTTGTATTTTTGCAGAAAAGTATAGCCATCTGTAACCGGAAAATTGTAACTATTTCCTATAACAAATCATTAGGTAATTAAAATTATGCTTTTTCTGGATTGGGATGAAATGGTTACTTTTCCTCGAAATCAACCAAGTCAGTTGGCTTCTGTACGTAATCGCTGAAAAAATCAGAAAGCTTAAGACAGCTTAAGATCTGGCAAATTTCACGACCACACTATAAGAAATAATCTAGAAAGGAAAAAAATTAAAAAATAAATCAAGAAGGGAGAAGCACTCTACACAGACATCTACACAAATAATTAATCCACTGGCGCACCTAGGAAAAGCAAAGAATCTTATAATTCGAAACAGGTAGTAGAGAAGAGATCAGAGATCACATCATCGAATCAATTTCCAGCATGATGACGCTGGCTCTCATACTGCTTACATCTTAGAATCAGCTATTCATATCCGCCTCATTTTCTTGATTTTGCTCCATGAGATTTCTCACTTATGGAACAAACTTCGAAAACTACGATGATGAAAATTATTCAAATACCTAGTTCATGTAAATAAAAACATTTTGAATTCAATAAATTCCTATACATATCAACCTTCCGGTATTTTTATGAAAAACGCTACTTTTATATTTTGTATCAGTCCCATCTGTTGTCACTCTTTCACGATACCGTAACGAGTCCGCGTAACACTGACCAACTCGCATATACCCATAATCGCGGCAATAAAATTTTAATTTGGGACTTAAATACGGATAAACACATGAGAGCGGACAACATTGAAAACAATTAAACCGTAAGAGAATATCTCTCCGTGATGTCGTCTATTAAGTTAATTAATCTCGGGGAATTTCTTTTTCTAGTCGCTACTTTAGGAAGCTTGATTAATTGCTCAGCAATTTATTGGTGTAGATTATAGTTGACTTAGATGATAAAGAGATTGTAGGTACGTGTTAAAATTAGTTATTTATCTAGGAACTACTGGTCAAGGTGATTAAGTGATTATATTGTGCATGAGAATTACTGAAATAAACAGAATGAATTGCGTTTATTTCTCGAGAACTGATTTTTGGATGATTGCTTACTGCCTAGACTGAAAAGTGGAAGCAGAATATGAGGACAATTTCGAACATTACATACAAGTTACAGGATCACCAGGAGACTTCAATGCGAATGTCAGAAACAC